CCCTTTTCTCTTCTACTATAGTCCTTTCTTCCCCACTAGGAGCCATCAAGTTGAGTTAGGGTTTCGGGGTGAGGGTTTAGGCTTTTAGGGGTTAGGGTTCAAGGTTTAGGGTTGAGGGTTTAGAGGTTTTAGGGTTTCATGGTTTGAGGGTTTTAGGGTTTAAGGGTTTCAGGGCTTTAGGGTTTAGAGGTTTTAGGGCTAAGGGTTCTAGGGTTTCAGGGTTTGATCGTCAAGGTGTTTGACCCCTTACCCCTATGCATAAAACCCCCGCTCCACTAATCACAAATATGTCCTTTCCTAGTTGTCTCCTGGCAAGGTGCTTCACGAAAACCATATTGATCCATAAACATTCTGACGTTCATATAAGGCCCAAAGCGACCCCTGATTGTTGGAGAAGCCCCTGATGCAGGTGCCTGCCATAAACCCCAAACCCTATCCCATAGGTCCTGGGCCCTAGACTTCGTCCCTAGATGAGTCCATTGCAGGGACCTTTATAAACATCATGCAAAACTTACAGCTGCCCTGAAAAGGACCTAACTGATAACTGACAAGGGTGAGCCCAGAATCCACCACGCGCTGTCGCGCCTCCACCCTCTGCCAGCCGATGTGCGGCGTGAGGATCACATTCCTATAGGTTCAGGGCTTATGGGGTGCAGATGGGCACTTCCCAAAATCAGACATTAGGGCACCGTAGGGAACCCCCTAGGCTAGGGGTATGCAATGCAGAGATTGTAAGAAGACATTCCTGAAACACATGGGAATGCTTGAAAAGAAGAATCACTCAGTCATAAGGATGCATGGAGTTGCTATATTAGGGAGCTATTGCAAAAAGCCCTCGATTGCCACATCCCTGTTACACCTCGCTCATGCATCATGACATGAACTGAGTAGGGAAACCTCGACTTCGTAGAAGAAGCTATCGCTGCCAATAAACTGAAATACTTGTCTAGGCTTACTGGCACATAGAAAATATTTCAATCCATGTACGACGTCTTTTGGTTGACAGTAAACCTCCAGGTTCAACCCAGAGGTTATTTCAGCTGGCAGAGACCTACTACACCTGGCAATCCCACTCTATGCCCTACCTGGAGGCCGAACGTCCTTCCTTTTTTGGATTCTGTGCTACAGTAGCTAACTTATATTAAAAGCATATTCCTACGAGTGACAGATAGGGCATCCAGCGTCCAGCTAAGCCCTGACATTTGAAACCAAAGCCGAAGGTCTCGAACTCGTTGAAGGCGTCATAAAGCGGAGAATCATCCGGCAGCGGCGGGGGTGGGGCAGAGCCCTCGCCAAAGACATCCAAGGCGGCACCGGCAATCTTCCTCTTCTAAGAATTCTACTGACAGGTTCTTCGTAGGGACAGAAAGTTATATAATCTTTATATAACCCCTATAATATAGTAATGCATTCTCACGTTCCCTACTAACTAAAAACGCATAAGTCTAGGGTTGAGGGCTTGGGTTGACGGGGTTTAGAAATCTTTTAGGCTTGTCAGCTTTAAGCTTGAAAAGCAAAGGTTTAGGGTGTGAGGTTTAGGCCAGGTTCAGAGCCTGAATTGGGAAGCCCTTCCCACAATCACAGACGCAGGCTGGGCGGATAAGGACTTACTGGGCTGTCGAAGCCTGTTGCTGGTTCAATGGAATCGTAAGACTGAGTTCGCCCGCCGTGTGCCTTTTAATCTAACATGCAAACCTCCCAGGACAGCAGTCGGCAGATATTCATGCTTGTCAAACCGTAAGGTTCAAACAAAAAGCTTGCAAATATTGTTTTCAACTCTAGCTTCTTCTTGCGGAGGGCATCGATGAGGGCGTCTTGGTCAACGATGGGTCCCCGCGCCGTGTTGATGACATATGCACTCGGCTTCATCTTGTCGAAGCACTCAGAATTCCTGAGGCTCTGAGCAGCACATGGAATTGTGCAGCTTTGCCAACACTTTCACAAGTAGTCTGGACAGACAAGCTGAAAATCCTGGAACACTTTCCTATGCTTCCCATATTAAGATTCAAAAGGTGTTTCGTGTAGCAAGTGTGTGTAAAACCCCAAACCTGAAGCCCAGAGTCAGAAGGCCCTTCGTGTGTTTGTTCAGAGGAACCATAGGGCTGATGAAGTCCGACTTCTTCAGCAAATCGTCCAAGGTGACCACCTCCACGCCTCAGGGCCCGTGGGTGTGATGCAGGGGCCTTGACAGTCAGCAAAGGCATTTATTATAGTGATCCTACAGGGTTATATGACTTACATATGGGCGCAGAGAAAGTTTCGCAAGGGTGCAGGGATCTTAATGCCTAGAATGTTGGGACCAATTAGAGAAAACACATGAAATAGTATTCAATACAAAGTATGTGTCCTTTCGAAGATTGAGATCACCGCAACGTTCGCCCAGCGATTTCTTCGAAAACTGGATGGCGAAAAACAATTCGGAAAAATGCTATTGTGGATACTGTAATTGTCACAGCACCTGTGACTTGAATACGCAAGTCACATGACGAAACAATGGTTTGGCTTTATCCTGCTGCTCAGCTTTGTTAGCCTCCTAGCCCCTAGCTCCTGAGTCGCGCATGCCCAATGGGGTGGAAGGCATGTCCGAAACGATGACCTTCATCCCAAGCTGCAGGGCTTTCCTCAGCCGGGGTTCGGGGCAAACATGGCTCGTTGTGGACTGCTCAGCATGGAAAACTTGCCTTCATATATCCGGTTACGTGCATGGATTGCATAAGGCTTCGGGAGACAAAGCAGGTATGAAACAATTCCAGTCCCAGCTTCTTGGAGATGTTTGACGCAATATACCCCAAGCCACCAATGATGCCTTGGTTGCGTGCAATTAGTAGTGTACCGGACTGCAAACCAGTGACTAGCATGTTCGGAGGGAGGCAACAAGTTGCACAAAACGCTCGCTGAAACCAAGTCGTCCGGTCCTAAATTTCTTGTGCCGAAGTGCCATAAGTCTTGCCCCGGATCTCGAAGTGGTCCAAATGTCCCAGATGGCCTAGACCACGGACAGGACTGGATGGCGTGGAAAGAATACATTGTAATGGATCTAAGTGTCTTCCCGGACTTGTATGCCTACTTAACACCAACCCTTGCCTTGCGCCATCCTTATCTTTTGTAGTGCTAAAAGCAGTATTCCAAGGTCAGGACCAAGAGGTCAAGCATGCAAACCCATACTTCCAAGCGCAACGCAATGTCTAGGCTACAGTCTACAGTAATCCCAACTTTGCCTAGCAACATTGGTGCATGTAGGTCCGGTCGCCCTTCGCCAACGCCTTCATCTGTGGCGCCAAAGAGCACGACAGAGCCATGACCAAAGTGATCGCATAATCCCCCATTGCCTGAGGCAGGGCATAATGTTGCACTCACTTTTGCGTAGGGACCCTCTTTAATGTGTTTTCGCCGCTGCTTATTCAAGATATGGCCATTGTTTGGGTGACCCTGTTTCATATGTTTTGTTTTCGGGGCCCTAAAAATACGGGACCGAATCCACACCATCCCTTTCAAAATAATCTCCAAGGGTTTTCGGGTGCTCAATACCGTGGGACCCTTATTCAGGACGTCTAATTTCCCTATTGTTAAGCGGGGAGGGGGGCCCTAAGATTAAAGAGGGTGCAACATTATGACATTATGAGTGATGATTATACGTTTTGCTTGGTGTTTGGTTTTGGCAACCCATGAAGGCTCCATCATTGTGTTATACGTCCAACCCAACCAGTAAGCTCGTGTTTCCTGTGGCGAGCCCGCCACCTAAGCCAGAATGGATGACTGCATGTTCTCCAACAGCCTCAGTGGTGTACTCGGGCACGTTACAGATGGCAATGCCCCTCTCGCGACAAGCGTCAAGGTCGATGTTGTTGTACCCCGTGCCGGCCTGTAGGCGCAAATGGTAGTGATTTTACCGACAACCCGTAACATGTCACGCATCTGTACATGATACGTGCCAAGTCACAAACATGCAGACTTGCAAAAACCCAAAGCAACTTGTGCGCATGGTGGAACCTTTCACCAACATCTCTCTCCCAACCCGCCTCGGCAATGAGCTTAACCGATGGCGGAAGGGCTCTGATGATGTCGCCTGGGATGGGAAACTCTTTGTTCATCACGATGTCCATGCCCTGTGATCTTGGCACAATCTCTTCGGTGGCAGAAATGTCATAACTGGTGAACTCTGTAGCATTGGTGACCTTGCTCCAATCCATGCGCCCGTCAAAATCCAGCCGCGCTGCGTTCAACATGACACACCTGATCGCACGTTGATTGCTAAACATCAAAAACCAGAATTAGCTAAACCATCTCTTCCTTGGGGTGCCGAAGTTGATGTTTCTTGCTGACACTTTTCATTGTTCGGAAGGTTTGCATGATTATTGGTTGTTTTTGATTGTTTCAATAACTCTGACACAACAAGAAGAACGTAGTAGCGAAATGCAATCATTGACACTTAGGTTTCGTGGCAAAGCATCGCCCGAGGCGAACCGGGTTGAACCGGGCGCCATGTCGCACGAGGGACTTGCCAACAAACATGGGGCTAACGTCGTTTGTCTACGAAGGCCTTGAGAAGAAATCTGGCGTCGATTTTCTGATCGTGTTGACTACCGCAAGACATGCTCCAAGCCTGTAGAAACCCACGAATGAATGACGGGATGGAAGCCTCCTGTTGAGGAACTGCGCAGGTGGAAATTGGATTTTCTTCAAATAAACATGGTTCCGAAGCAATTCTAAAAATGTTAAGGGTCAGGCGTTCCTTGCACCAATTGGTTTCTTGTGGAAACATATGGCTAACGAAGGGCTGGACCATGCTGCGCCTATTTTCGCTTCCTGCGCGCTTGCTGCGCGCGGACGATGTTTGCACGGAGTTGGGGGGTATACCCATCCGTGCCATAAAGGTGGTACATGGTGGAGACGGACATGCCGGCCTAAACATCCGTCGGCCACGCAAATTCTCGTGCGGCGGTAGCGACTGTCAGGCCGCGAGCATCGCGCTTTTGCCTGAGCTTTTGCAAGTGTGAGAGGGCCGTCCTGCCAGCCAAATGTTGCTGCCATATGTGTTAGGGCCATGCTCCTCAAAGGTTGCACAAGGATTTGCTGTTTTGTCGCGGGACAACAGGAAAACATGTGTTGGTGCGGTGGCAAACCGCATACAACCACGGACGTACCATTGTAAAAAACGGCGCGTGTCGCTGCTGACCAATGAGGGGGGGTGCTCCAAAAAGGATGTTCAAGAAGCAAACTGTTGGCACAAAGATGTTGCAGGGCACTGCCGTGGTGCTCAGGCTCAATAGGTGGCAACATGAGTTCCTGGATAACATTGAAGTGACCTTGACATACCTTGACCATCATCGCGGTTTTGTTCCTTCTCCACCGCAAGCACACACTGCAGTAAAGAAAGACGCAGCAAATCATAAAACGCGCATCAATGATGTGAGAAGCGACACCTAACAAATGCCATGGACCATGGGCACAGCAGGACTAGCTGGATGAAATGTTGAACTGTGTGCGGGCGCCCGAGGAGGGGACTGAGGAAGAGACTGCGGAGAAGTGCTGGGGGGCTTGGTAAAAGATGCGAAGCTCGCAGGCAGCGACCCTCGGCCTAGCGGGGGCCCAAGTCCATCATTACACCATATCCGGAACAAGTTGGGTCAGGAGAGGACACGGGTGTAGGGCCTAATTAGGTAGATTGGGGGGTCCAGAGCTTTACCGGGAGGATCGGGAGGAAACTTACACGGGCCGCAAGCTCGGTCCTGGACAAGCGCGCGTTCGAAACGCTTTTCGCAGACCTCGACTCTGCGTCTCGGGCGGTGCTGCTGTCCCAGGGTGGAGATGCCGCCAGCTGCGCATTCACAGCCCTGCCCACAAGTATAGACACATCGGTGCCGGACGCCGAATACCGCACCTTGCTGCTTCACTGGCTCCGGATGCCGCTCCCATTTGCGCCAAGGCGGGGCGCGCGGAGGCCCGCTCAACTTGTGGGGAAACCAGCTTGCGCGCACGTCGGCGCACTCGCCCGCAGAGCCGCTCCCCTTGAGCGGGCCGCAACTCGCATCTGCCGTGAAGCAGGGGCACCGGTGGCCACGAATGTCGCCATTCGGGATTTTAATCTCGATGCGACCGCCGCTGACGGCCGCCGTATGGTGGTCGTCGCCAACGGCATGCCCATCTGGCAAGGGGCCCGAATCGAAGCTGGAGCATCCCCACCTTGAGGCCCCCAATGGGAGGTCCCTTCTTTTCCTTGCTGGATCAGGAATCTGAATTCGGAATATGCAGACCCCAACCCCAACCAAGAATGGACTATTCAGCCGCCACACATTAGCCGCCCCTCAACAAAGCAAGTCGCAAAAAAACTGCTGATCCCAATACAGGACACAATGCACACACACTCAACCCGCCCAATGAAATGAGTCGTTCGCGACAAATCAAAATCTCACTGAGCCGCCTTGTCAGAACCCAATGATTGCAAATGGCAAAAGGCAATCTTGAAATTGATCGAACGGGAAGGCGGCTGAAAATAAGCCCCGCGGAATATGTTCTGTTTCCGTCCCTTCCTCCATTCCCCCAAACATCCGCGAACACATTCTGGTCGCCCGCGAAATACGGTTTTTTTTCCCCCCTCCCGCTCTTCCGCAGCTGCGGGGTGACAAGCTGTAAGTAAGCCCTACCTACGAAGACTCGGAACAGAAGTGTGTACCCGTCATGCGGCCAATTATTGACAAAACATTCGAGGGAGCGCATACTGGAACTGTACACTGCGCAGGCCCCGAACATCTCCTCTGTATGGCTTCGCAACTCTCGTCCAGGGCAGTCACTGTCCAAACTGCAGGCCATACTGTCTGCAGAGCAATCCTTTGTGTATCGCATGCTACACCGAAAGTCATGCCGTTTGTGAAGCAATGTTTGCCACGCCGTCTGCGGAGGAAAACTTGTTCTGAAGCCCTGCCGTCTGTAGAGGAAAACTTGGTGGAGCAGCACTGAACTGCCAACCATGTTGTCAGTAGAGCAAACCCCTTTTAGAGCATAACTGAGCCACGCCGTCTGCAGAGGAAAACCTTTGCGCAGCAGTGTTGGCCACGCCGTTTGCAGAGAAAAACTTGTTTTGAAACCCTGCTGTTTGTAGAGCAAAACTTGGCTGAGCAGCACGGTCGCGGCTCGTACTGAAGCCATGCCGCCTGCAGAGCAAAACCTTGTTGAGCAATCGACCGTCTGTGAAACAATGCGAGATGCGGTGGATGATTTTTTTTTCTTTCCCTCGCGCCTTTTTCCCCGCTATAGAGGTTAGCGTGGTCCCCGCTTCCCCACCGGCCCTGCACACAAAGGCGAGCTGTCCCATCCGGCGCACAACCTCTGTCATACGCTGTCCAGAATCGTTTTGGTTTTGGCAGCCAGGCGAAGCGGTCCCTGCGCAGAGCCAAACACAGGCCACTGGCTATAGGCAGGCTTTCGCGGCTAAGGCATGCGGATGGCAAATGGCGGCGGAGCAGCCGTGGAGTCTGCAGGCAGATCGTTGAGGAGGGGCGAACCTCCTTCAACGTTAGCGGTGCCACTGAGAGGGAAGGACAGGAGGCTGGCAGTGAAAGAACGTGCAGCGGCAAATGACGTTGCGTGTACGCGGAGATGCTGCCTGCTCGTGATGATGCCCTGGCGAGGAGGCACATGAAGCTGGCGGCTTCAGAACTCCAACGGCCGGCAAGGATTACTAGGCGAGCACAGGCAGTTTCGTGTAACGCAGCGGCAGTCGACTTGGCAGCACTGCTTGAACCAGGTCGAGGACGCCTGCCAAAGGAAAGGGATGGCACGAACGTCTGCTGGGATCGCCGGCGTGCTCCATGTGCCTAGCACAGCGCTGCAGACAGCACGCTGGACCGCGACATCCGAAATGCCCAAGCAGCGACACGCCGGAGAGAGTCAGGCCATGAAACGACCATGGGTCATGGTCAGAAGCGAAACATTGAGCATGACGCGTATTTCACAAGCCCAAATGACAAAGCAACAACAGAAAGACCGCAAACAAAGGTACAGTGGTGATCGTTCTACGGCTTGCCCGCCCAAATCATTTTTAAGTTCACTTGTCACACACTGCCGTATCAAGTTTCGCAGGCGGCAGCTGAATGGCACACATGGCCGACAAGTGGGTGCGCGATTTGGTTCGGGTCCGCGCGTTTCGAGCCCCACCCGCCGTCCGGCGCGCGGCTGGGCACGCGGGTGGTGGAGCATCCTGTCGGTGGCTGCGCAGCAGGCCGTAGCCGGCATGGCCCTCGACTGTGCCTGGCGGATGAGCTTTTCGACCTCCACGGCCAACGCTCCACTGCTGGAACATGTGCGCGGGCGTCGGGGCGCTGATGCCGGCGGCAATCTGCCACTCCGGGCGTAGCCAGCCCTGCAAGGGGGCGGCACAGCTCAAGACTGGTAGATACTGGTAGCCTTGCAGTGTAGTCCGGACTGGACCAAAACCGTTAATGCAGGCATAAAAGTCCGCAGCAAAAAAAAAATGAGATCCGTGCAATGTTCATGGCACCCTCTGTGCTGAACGAATTCTGGAGCGACAGGCGTCCGCCACGACGGCTACACTGGTGCCACCCATTGCGTGCCAGGATGTGCGCGGAGCATTGCAGAAGGGCATGCTCCAGCGAAGCGAAGCCAAGGGAACAGAAACGACACCGCGTGCTCACGTGGGGGGGGTGGGAAATAGGAATAATTCCTATTTCCAAGTTTTCAAGTAGACGTGGGGGGGACCCCCCTACGCCCGAATAGAGGCCAT